GAGTGATCAGCGGGTTCCTAGGCCTACTCTAAGATTCGTCGTCAAGGCAATCAAAGAAAGGAATTGGATGGTTCTAACCTCCGACAAAGAGGGAGGATTCGTGGTTCTTCCTGAACGGATGTGCGAGGACAAGGCACTAGATGCAGTGTGCAAAAACTTCAAGGAGGTGCATTTCTGTCCAAAGAAACGGAAGACCATGATACAAAAACTGTTCAAAGAATGGACCTTGATGCGCTCTGCAGAGAAGTGGTAAAAACAAGCAATGTGACGCTAAAGTCATTTTTCACCTGCAAGACGCACAAGTGTGACTACCCGCTACGCCTCATTGTGTCCGAGAAGGGAGGCTGGCAAAGGGTAGTGTCACGGTACCTACAAGACATACTTGGTTCTCTTAACAGCGGTGACCCTTTCTTAGTGAAAAGTTCTTTGGAAATCGTTTCTACTTTGAAGGAAAGCTTACCAGTGGCGTCCACGGCTTTTTCAATTGATGTGGAAGAACTTTTTTACTCAATTCCACATGGCGCGCTTTTTGATGCTGTCAGGAGTGCAATCGAAGAATTCGGTGAAGTTAATTTCCAAAACAAGCATGGTACGTATCTTCGTGAATAACTTTTTGGAACTTTTGAAATTCTACCTAGAGTCTACTGCAATCGGCCACCAGAAGGGTACCTACGACCAAAAACCTGGAATTTGTATCGGATCTGCAATCGCACCTGTTCTCAGTGACATTCTTGGAAGCCTTCGACCAACGCCTGAAGGATGATCTGTCCCATTTGGATGTCGTTCGCACCTTCAGGTATGTGGACGACTACCTTATCGTGCTTGGGAAGGTCCCATGTGAACGGGTTCAAGATGTTGTGAAAGGTGTCCTTGAGGTTTTCAACAGACACTCCAGTGGCCTGAAGTTCACGCACGAAATGCCGGTTGAAAATGAGATCCAGTTTCTGGACGTACGGCTGAAGTTTGCCAAGAAGCACATCTGCTTCAAATACAATCCGCGATCCAAGAAAGGCTTGTTGCCATTTGATAGCGCCCACTCGAAGTTGATTAAGAGGGGCATTGTGTTGTCAGCTTGTGCGGAAGCCCTTGACAAGTCTTGCCTTCATCTGATGTTTGAAAGCTTCGAGAATCAGGTAGCTCGTCTGGGTGCGACTGGATACCCAGCACAGTTTTTAGCTAGGGCTTGTGAAAGCCTTCTTAAAAAATACAAGGGCGGGGGTCCAAGCGTCGAAGGAAGGGAGAGGAGGCCTATTCATGTTATGCCTTACTTACATAGCGTTTCCCATAATGTAAAAAAAGGTGGCTAATAGGTACGGTGTGGATGTACTCTTTTCAGCGCCTACAAAGTTACGTCAGATCTGCTTGTTAATGACTAAACAGAAGAAGGCAAAATGCACAAAAAAGCATGCGAACGTGTTCATTAGGTGCGTACTTGCTGTTGTATATCTGATTCCTTTGTCGTGTGGGAGGGTGTACATAGGGCAGACGGGGCGTTGCCTCAACGAACGCTTGCGTGAGCACAGTCTGGCCGTAAAAGAAAAAATGGTGGTCATTTAGATTTGCACTGTAGGACACGCGGTTGCACCCCCCCCCCCCCCCCCTGTTCGAGAATGCGTCAGTCATGGCTAAGGCACGCGAAAAGACCGAAAGGGAGATAATCGAAGCGTACTTTATCAGGCAATATAATGACAACTGCATAAGCATCATGCCTTCAATTTCACTTTCGGACAGGGAAATGGTCTTCCTACATGGTCAAGTGTAATGTTGTGGCTAACGCCTTGCATTGTGTTCTCTTCCATTCCTCTTCTTTTGTTTTGTTTATTAGTGTTCTTGTTTTTTCCCATGTGACGCTACGTAATGTTTTGTAAGGTTTTATGTTAGTATAGTTTTCGAATCTCTCGGCGTACTGATCCTTCGGGTTCCTCAATTGGGGCTGCTTGGAGTGAATATAAAAATGTTAATTTATTGTATTATGTGGTGCTAAGCGCTCTATTTAGGGTTTTGAACAAAAATCTCTAGAGCACGTTTTCATTTTTTTCATGCCTTTGTTGATGCTTGGTGCAATAAATAATAAAAGATAAATAAAAAAAAAGATGAGCACACACCTTGGGATTACGCAGTTTAGATTGTGGTGGGTATCACTTCTGCATTTTGCCATTTTTCACTTTTGTCATTGTGGTGGCAGTCAATTTTGATTTGATTTGTTTTGGGTCGGCTTTGTTTGCGGCGTCTTTTGTTTTGTGCGCATCCTGGAAGCGCAGCGTAGCATGCGTATATATTGGCTTCAAAAAACGACAATAAACAGTTGGTAGTCTGCGCTCTTACCCCTGTCCCCCTTGTTTTTCTTCAAGTTTGTGCAGCAATTCAATTTTTCAAGTCCTAAAAAGACCTTTTCATTTTGCATTGTATTATTTTTGGATGCATATTGAACACGAAGTGGTACTGTGTGTACTACGTATGCATGTCTCAAAGGAGACTTATTTTACAAGGCCTTTGCGATGCCCTGGATTGATGTTTTGTCTTTTTTTTTCGAGTGGCCGACCAAACGTCATTGCTTCTTTGGCACTTACTGCGCCGTTTGGCTAGAAGTGGCGTCCATTGCCTCCTGCGAGGCATTGGACGTCCACTTTGCAGAGCGATCGTTTTAACGCTTAGACTTCGCCTCAACCGACGAAGTTTTGTGTCCACCCAGCCAGGGGTTGATGAGACCCCCTTAGCCTCTTCATTGTTTTGGCTGCTGCCAGGTCTTGTAGAGACCACCGGTGTGGACTGGTTGATTTTAAGTGGGGCAGCACTGGCTGCTGCCACCATAAGAGCAAGTGACTAACCTGGGTACGCTAGGCGTGGTCCAGGTATCCACCAAGGGCCGTTGTGGTGCCGCCCCTCGTTGCCCCACTTCAGCGAAAGATGTTAGTGCAAAGAATGGATGTAGGACTCGCCTTCGTGGCTCACGGAATGCAACATTTTCCTCAGCTTTTATAGCGATAATTCTTTTTCTCTTCCAGGCTGGGCACACTCTGGAGTATGCAGAACGACTACCTCGTAGGTTGCACAGAGATCGTCACCGTGTCTGCATTCATCAGTACTGCGATCAGTTGGGGCGTACTTAGCACGAGTAAGCTGACCTCGGCACCTTCAGAGTTCCGTGCCCAAACCACTGACACTTGAAACGGCGTTTCGGAATGCATGCATGCACAGGAAGTTTTACATAGCCAGTTACAATTGTCTGAGGTAGAGTGGTTGAGTTGAAAGTGAGTATTAGATGCTTTGTTGCAATGTCAGTGCTGCTGCATCCAACTGTAATGCGTTGCACATGTGTTATGCCTTTGTCCTTCCATTCATTTAGGAGTTTATTTTCACTTAGTGCCATCAAGTCTTCATTAGATACTACGCCCTTCAGTGTGTTCATTGTACGGTGTGCACTTACTGATACAGGGATACTGGCAAAAGCTATGAGGTGTCAAAGCTTTTTGAACTGTTCCTTGTCCTTTAATTCAAGTAGAATATTCCCACATGCCATCTTTGTAGCTTTATAGCCAGTTACAATGGTGTCTTTTAGGCACTTGGCCACAACGAAAGGTAAGATTGCTCTGGCTTTTGTCGATCGTTGTTCACAATGAAGGACATGGTATTTCGAAAAGGTTTTCATGTTCTGATGAAAAAAAAAAGATGCTACATCAGGGCATACCCTCTTGGCGGCACAATCTGTTAGAGAGAGGGGGGTTCAAAGGTCCCATAAAAATTTTGGTTCCTTCGGCAGCAGCACCTACTACCCACCACGGAGTCAAACAAGGGGACGTGCCAGAACATGTGGAAAAGTCTGCACTACACCAGCAGTACGCCATTGCTATAACCAAATATAGTTTATCCTAGGCAGGATAGATTTAAAGTGGAGAAAAAAAAAATGAAGATGTAAGGAGAGAGAAAAAAAGAAAAAGCGACTGCTGATTTTTCCTAGGTGGGTCAGCCCAAGGGGTGCTATCTACTTGAAGCTGGGGCCAAAGAGGTGTGTTGCCTCGGCCGGCGGGGGGGGGGGGGGGGGGGGGCTTGAAGGTCCAAGCACCCAGTGTCGGCCCAACCCCCAGAATATCCTTTCCCCCGGACACGGCTAAGCCATGCACAGCGAGGCGTGGGAGGGAGTCCAAATTTCCCCGTTGGCTCGGGTTTGTGGTATTGCCACACACCAAACACCTGCTTGAGCAGACACCCCTGCGGGAAGGTGCGGAGTCAACGTAACTCTGCAAACTTGAGCTTTGGTTCCTTTCCCTATTTGCTGGTCTTCATTTACGTTTCATGCACTACTTCTGGAGTTGTCCGAAAATTTAACGCAAGTGCATACTCCCAGAACACCACAAGGCCACCTATAACAAAATATATGAGCCAGATACCCATTTACATGTGCTGCTTAAGGAATGCATTGCAATTCTACTCACCTCACGTCTATCGTTGGTTCCGCTGTGGGAACGTCTGGTAGGTCGCTGCTGCTTTCTACTTCAGCCATTTCAAAGCTGACAACTTAGCGATTACTTACTAGCGCCTTTACACTGGCGGAGCATTGCTGTGTTTTGACCGTGTACCACGAAGAACAGCAATTATCTGTGTACTGAGCGCATACGCAGCATACACTGCCCCAGATCCCCGCACACCGAGACGGTAACATCGTAGACACTAGACGGCACTGGGGTGAAAAAAATAACAGCACTACTGCCCGCGTGCCGGTTCACGTTGTTGACGCTCATGTGCAACACGTGGCACCACAACCCAAGCAGCACGTAGCCACAAATTTTTTTCTGGGGGGGGGCACCTTGATTTTGGAAGCGGCAGCACCTCCTTGAAATGACCATTTTTTGGCAAAAAAAAAAAAAATAAAAATGGGGGCACTATTATGCCTCTGCCTCGACCACAATAGCTCTGCTGTACATTATAAATTACAAAGATGCCTGTCAAAGTTGCCAGTGCTGTAATGTTGCATATTCAGGGTGCGAAGTGGCTGCTTGGGCACGTTTGTAGGACGATTTATTTGACCAAAAAATGGTCTCTCTCTCTCAAGCATGAACAGCAGGCCTTGCCCAGATTGTACTTGAGCATTTTCCCCTGCATATACACACTCAGAATATGCACTGGTTGGACGTATAACATTGTCATCACACCCTAATAAAAAAAACTGAGGTTTTATTGATAACAGAGCTTTCAAAATATCATTCAAACACAACATTATTGCTAGCACTGTGCATAGGTGGTATCAAGTGCAGTCACATGATTTATAAAATGCAGTCAAGCATTAATACAACGAAAAAATTTTTAAGACTGCTTTCTAATATATTTTGAAAAATCTGCTGTTTTTCTGCAACTTCTATGACACACTTGTTCTCCCGGTGCTTTCAGTGGATGCGTGTGGACCAATTCCTGAAAGTCTGGAGCACAGCAATGCATCAGCCCATTGTTGCAGCTTAGGAGGTGCTTACCATCATTCGCAACATTGCAGTTAGTCGTTTCATAGAAGAAAAACACTACGAGAGTGACAGTGAAGACTAACTCGTTTTTCCTCCAAGAAGACGTTTCCTCAGACATTATCGAAATCTTGGGCATCTCATTCTTTAACCAACAGTGGAAATTAGTAGGACTTGCTGTCTTCTCCCTCACATGAAGTAAAAGTAGGTTTCTATGAAAAAAAAAAGGAATAGAATTCTCCACTGCAGGAATGTTGGTACCCTTGGGTTGTTTTCAAATTTCAGTGCCCAGCATCTGCAATAAAGGAAACAAATACCTAGAGCTGCTTCACTGTGCACCATATTCCATCCAACACACCGAGTAGAATCTAGACAACAGAGAAAGAACAAGAAAGAACACAATGTATGTACAGCATCCACTCAAGCACTCGAATTCAGTGCGGAGCATTTCACTATGTATACAATAGCCACATCCCCAAGTTTGTAGTACAGAAAGTTCACTTGCAACCCAAAAATTAACACATGCGCCACCCACAGCCACCACTCTCTCACTCGGAGAGAAGTCTCATAGATGTCCCACTCAGTCACATTTGCTCACTTCTGTAACATCACCCATGTTTTGCTTGCTCGAGATAGTTTGACGTTCTCATACAGACGCACGTTTGTTTTGCTGGCGTTAGTAACAAATTTTGTCGTAGATTCGTAGACCGCGCAAACTTTAGTGACAAACTTTGTTGTAGATTCTAACATCAGTGTTTAGCCAGACGTCATATAATTTCAGATTGAAGGACAAACTTCCAGCTTTCAATATTCATGGCATTTACAGTGGTGTACAAAAAGCACATACCCTTACGGAAGAAGCCGACTTGCACGACCCTCTTACATTCGCGAATGAGATGTGGGCTGTAGAATTGTGGGCAGAGCTTGTATTTATTCTTATGTTGTAACCGTTTATTAACTTCAGTGACGGCTGGGAAAATGCAATAAATTAACAAAAGAAGGCTTAGCGGGCCAAAAAAAAAAAAGAGAAGATAATGCATCAATCAGAAACAATGTTCATAAAATCAGTGCTTCAGAGAAATAGACGATGCCTTCGCATTGTCCCCGTGTTGAGTGTGAATAGGCAGTCGGTAGTGCGCAACAGAATGTACACACCGACGCTTCAATGTTTAAGCCAACTGTCGGCGAATAGAAGCCGTTGAGCGCATCGAATGGAGACAGACACCTCACAGTGCCACATTAATGTACGAATCTCTCCTAATGTTCCTGCTACGTGTCAGAGAAGCATGATCGGCCAATCAGAGGGGCATTGGCCTTCAGTGACAGTCGTGTTCTGCACTGTGCTCATAATTTTTGTTCGTGCGTGTTTAACTTGCCTTCGGCTTATATGACAATATAAATGGTGCTGCGTGACTGGGTCAGTTAGATATTTACTTGTTCTAGCGGCTTCAAAAAAAGAAAAAGAAAAGCCCGTCTTTTGGCAAAATTACTTGAAAAATAAAAGTTCTACACTCTGCTTTTCGGCATGCATTAATACTTGCATCGCCGTAGAAAGGTGAGAATGGAGGTGTTTTTTCTTTTGTTTTTTTTTTTAAGGGGCAAAGCTCCTTAGGCCATGGGTCGTTGCCTCTTCCGTATGTAGCATGTAGCCACCTCTAGTTTTTGACTTGCTCAATAGCAGGCCTTGTGTGTGTATGTCCTTGGAAATAGTATAACAAATAGCGTTAGTGGCTTTCACCACATAGCCACGGAGTGAATGATGAGTGGGCGAAGCATCTGTTTGTCCATCCGTGTCCAAACGTCCGTCCCCACACCTGTGCATTCGTCCGTGCGTCCATACATATATATATATATATATATATATAGTGGGGGAAAAATCAGGTGGACCCAGATAAATAAGAAATAGGGAATAAAGACTTTTGTTGGTTTGGCACTGTATATTTCCACTAATGTTTCGTCTGGTGGACCAGACTTTGTCAGTCTTTCTCTCTCCTTGAATATATATATATATATATATATATATATATATATATATATATATATATATATATATATATTATAATGTAAATGCAAGGTCAAAAGCGGTATCAGCGTCTGTACAGAAGCAAGCAAGAGCTGGCCGGGTGTACGGACAGCGTCGCAGCAACAACCAGGCAGTCTTAGCTCGTGCCTCGCGCCAACGTGTCTATGTCGCTTTAGTAGTTGGCATTCCTCTTCACTACACTTCGTCCCCCGTCGGAAAAGGAGCCATCCTGGCGACTCACGGTGAACAGTTTCACGACCCCGAAAGCGCTGGTCTGTTGATGGCGTAACGGGTTCGACGGTGTAGTTAACAGGTGAAGTCTGCGAGACAATGCGGTAGGGTCCCTGGTATTTTGATACAAGCTTCGAGAAAAGGCCTATAGGCACAGCGGGAACCCAAAGCCACACAAGAGTGTCCGGAACAAAGTTAGGGTACGGTTGGTTATCGTCACGTCGAGATTTTTGTCTCCATTGGTCGACAGTTGTAAATGACTGGGCGAGCTTACGGCATTCCTCGGCACGGCGGGCAGCTTCAGAGGTAGGCGTAGACTCGGAGGAATCTGGGTGGTAGGGTAGAATGGTATCTAGTGTGGTGGAAGGGTCTCGGCCATATAACAGGAAAAATGGCGAAAAGCCTGTATTTGCCTGTGGAGCAGTGTTATATGCGTACGTCACAAAAGGGAGAATGAGGTCCCAATCGGAGTGGTCTGAGGCAACATACTTTGATATCATGTCCCCTAGGGTACGGTTGAATCTTTCCATCAAGCCACTCGTCTGCGGATGGTAGGCAGTGGTAGTCCGATGAATGATACGGCATTCGGCGAGGAGTGCGCTGACGACTTCAGAGAGAAATACACGTCCTCTATCGCTGAGAAGTTCACGCGGTGCGCTGTAACAGAGAATGAAGTTCCTCAGGAGAAAAGAGGATACGTTGCGTGCTGTGGCAGCAGGCAAAGCGGCTGTTTCTGAGTATTGCGTCGAATAGTCGACAGTGACAACAATACAACGGTTTCCGGAAGCCGTGAATGGAAGAGGCCCGTACAGATCGATCCCAACGCGGTCAAAAGGCCTGGCTGGGCAAGGGATTGGCTGGATCGGACCAGAGGTATGATGAGACAGAGCTTTCCGTCGTTGGCACTGTGGGCATGACTGAATGTACTTGCGCAAAAAGGCGTACATGCCTCGCCAATAAAACCGGGAGGAAAGCCGAGTGTATGTTTTGAAGATGCCCGCATGTGCGCCCTGAGGGTCAGCGTGGAAAGCTGAACATATTGCAGCACGAAGATGGCGTGGAATGACGAGTAACCACTTTCGGCCGTCGGACTTGTAGTTCCTGTGATAAAGGAGGCCATCGCGGACCTCAAAGTGAGCCGCTTGACGGCGCAACGTTCGAGAAGATGGAGAAGTCGACGGGTCCGAAAGGAATCGCAGAAGAGTGCTGATCCGGTCATCCTTACGTTGCTCAGACGCCATGTCGCAGTTTTCTGGGAACGCGACCATTTCGTCCACGGCAGATAGACATGCAGAGCTTTTGGAAGACACACGTGAACGTGATAGGGCGTCGGCATCAGTGTGACGTCGACCAGGCCTGTAGACAACACGCATGTCGAACTCTTGCAACCGCAAAGCCCAGCGAGCTAAACGGTCGGAGGGGTCTTTCAATGTGGATAACCAGCAAAGCGCATGGTGATCGGTGACTACGTCGAAGGGGTGACCATATAGATATGGTCTAAGTTTACCTAGAGCCCATATTATTGCCAGACACTCCTTCTCTGTCACAGAATAGTTCTTTTCCGCTTTGGTGAGGGTACGGCGTGCGTATGCAACTACGTACTCCTCGAATCCCAATTTGCGCTGCGCAAGCACTGCGCCGAGTCCAACACCGCTGGCATCGGTGTGTACCTCAGTCGGAACAGTCGGGTCAAAGTGACGCAAGATTGGCGGCGAGGTTAACAGGCGGCGCAACTTTTCGAAAGCATCGTCACAGGCGGGTGACCAAGCGTAACTTTTCGAGTCACTGCGCAGAAGTTCAGTCAAGGGGGCGCTGATCATTGCAAAATTCCGAATAAAACGGTGGAAATAGGAGCAGAGGCTAAGAAAGCCGCGCAGATCTTTCAGAGACGCAGGTTTAGGAAACTCTGCAACTGCCCGAAGTTTGGTGGTGTCAGGAAGAATGCCATCTTTAGAGACAACATGGCCGAGGATGGTGAGCTGATTTGCGCCGAAGCGGCATTTCTTCAGGTTGAGCTGAAGGCTGGCGTCAGTTAGGCACTGCAGTACTTCATCTAGCCTGCGGAGATGCGTTGGAAGATCTGGTGAAAATATAACTACGTCATCCAAGTAGCACAAGCATGTTTTCCACTTCAGGCCACGCAACAGATTATCCATCATCCGCTCAAAAGTTGCGGGCGCGTTGCAAAGACCAAAAGGCATGACACAGAATTCGTAAAGGCCATCAGGTGTGACAAAGGCCGTCTTAGGCTGATCTTCAGGTGCCAGAGGGACTTGCCAGTAGCCACTCCGTAGGTCAATAGAAGAGAAGTACTCCTCACCTTGAAGGCAGTCAAGGGCATCGTCAATTCTCGGTAAGGGATAAACGTCTTTTCGAGTTATTTTGTTAAGACGACGGTAGTCAACACAGAAGCGAACTGACCCATCCTTCTTAACGAGAACGACTAGAGATGCCCAAGGGTTATACGAAGGCTGGATGACGCCACGTTTGAGCATGTCAGCTACTTGGTCATCGATAACCTGGCGCTCGGCTGCGGACACGCGATAGGGGTCTTTGACGCAATGGCGCATTGGTACCCGTATTTATGCGGTGACACACAGTGGACGTGCGGCCGAGGGGAGTATGCTGGCAATCAAAGGAAGAACGGAACTTCTCCAGCAGTCGTAGAGGCTGAGCACGTTGCGAAATGGTTAACGTGTCGGCGATGGAGCTGCTGAGTACGTCAGGCCTAGTAGTCTGCGGCGAAGAGTCACAAGTCATTCCGGCGACTTCGTGTTTGGCGGAAGGACCAGTCGACATGTCCGAAATTGCAGAAAAGTCAAGACTGTAAACCCACCCGACGCACTCACCCAGAAGTAGTGTTACAGGACATGACAAGAGGTTCGAGATGAGCAGTCTGCTGACGCCGTCATGAAGTTCTAGAAGGGCATAAGATAGCGGCGAACACTTGCGACAAACGAAAAGGGCAGATGGCGTGAAAAGGGCACTCGACTCGGCGAGCGAGTTGCAAGACACCATGGTAAGGGCGAAAGAGTGTGGCG